ACTACAGGCATGCGCCACCATGCCCGGCTAATTTTTTCTATATATTTTTAGTTGTCCGATTAATTTCTTTCTCTTTTCAGTAGAGATGGGGTCTCGCTCTTGCTCAGGCTAGTCTCGAACTCCTGAGCTCAAACAATCCGCCCGCCTTGGCCTCCCAAAGTGCTAGGATTACAGGCGTGAGCCACCGCGCCCGGCCTAGTACAACTTTTCTAATAGTGTAGCAGGCTATGAAGTTGCCGGTCATCTTGAGCAATGTGGAATGGTCTATGGAATATTACAATTCACAATTTAGAAAGCAAATTGTGCCGTGCTGTAAAACTTTGTTATTCAAAATGTTGTCCATGAATCCAAACACTAGCATCACCTGGAGGCTTATTAGAAATGCAGAACCTTGGGCCCCCCATCAGTCCCACTGAATCACAATCTGCATTTTAACAAGATCCTCAGATGACTCATGCACACATTAAAGTTTGAGAAGCTATATTCTATGACAGAACAGACTGATCCTCTGGGTAGTTTACATATGGTTCAGCTCATTCTGATTCCATTTGATTTAAGTATGCAATTTGGAGTGGGAGGTGAGTGTGGGAAGAGTGTAGAGGAGTTTGCTAATGATGGACTGAGCATGGATTTCTAAATGTATGTAAATTGGGATTTCAATCTCTTTTTCATTTTCAATTCATTTTGGTATGCCCAATTGATATCCTAATATGATTACTATCAGTCTTGAGGAATTTACTCCACATATTTCTTGTCTGTGATTAAACTTTACATGCACTTGGCTGAATGCAAAAGAATTAGATTAGCAGAGGCCAAAAAAAGGGAAGCTTTAGGAATGATTTATGTTCTGATGAAGCTGGCCTGTGGAGATTGTAGCACAGGGGACGCAAAAATGAGGTTGGCAAACTTATCGAAGTTACATGAGATAACAAACTCCACACATCACACCTCTCTTCTCTTTATCTGTGTTTTCTTTGGTTTCCATGCAAAGGTTTTGAAAGGCCTCTTTTTTAAAAGCTCATAAAAGTTATTCTGGAGTATAGCCATTATTTACTATCAAGATATGACTTAAATTTAACAGTGAGCTCAGATTTACAGGTACATTGAAAATATCAAGAGCTAAATTTAAAAACACAGGGTGAGATGAACGTAGCGGCTCATTTTATTTTTATTTCATTTTATCTGTACATTGCACAAGTACTCTAATTAGTATGTATCATTACTTTTAAAAGAAAGAAAATCATTTCACTATGACATCCTTGATTTCAGAGTTTATACGATTATATGAGTGACTATGATGGCCTTATATACTAGTTAAACTTCTTAACTAGCCACAACAGTTCCGTACTTGCAGTAGTATTTATGTATAGCTCTTTCATAAACAGTAGATTTTTAAACTTACACTTGCAATAAATCAATAAAGTGCAGCTACCTAATGTCCTGCATTTTTAAGATTTAGTAAATAGTGTATATTGATAAGTCCACCCCAGGATTCAGGACTAACAATGCCTGTTGGATTAGTTCCCACCCTTGTCCTCAACCGAAGGTCCAGGACAGCACAGAAAGGCTTTATGATTTTCCACAGCCTTCTTTTCTATACCTGATGATCCACTCCCACTCCCAGGTTATGTGCAATTGCTCTCACCACCTCTATTTTGTTTGGTCCATTTCCTCACTTATGTTTTGGTGTCAAATAAAGCAGAATGCTGCAGTGTGCACGTTGGTGCATTCCATTCACATTTACTTTGAGATATACTAGTATGGTTAGTTGTTCCAAAGATTCTAAGAGGACTTGGCTCATATGAAATTAAATGTCAAGCATAGCAAATCCAAAATTTCACAAATTTGGGTGATGTAATAGATATGAAAAAGAAAATAATTCAATCAGTACAAATGATTTTGTTTTTTTTTTTTAATTCAGAATATTATAGGGGCGCAAATGTTTTGGTTACATTATTTGCTTTTGTACAGTTTGATTCAAAATTATAAGTGTATCTATCACCCAGATAGTGTGCATTATACCCATTAGGTGTGAATTTACCCATCCTCTTCCCCCCGCACCTGCTTGATTTCCGTTAAATTTTAACGTTTACATAAAAGTGTCGATTCATTAGTTCCAATTTAGTAGTGAGTACATATGGTGTTTGTTTTTCCATTCCTGTGATACTTCACTTAGAAGAATGGCCTCCCTTTCCATCCAGGTTGTTACAAAGAGCATCACTTTACCATTTTTTATGACCGAGTAGTACTCCATGGTGTACATATACCACATTTTATTAATCTACTCATGTATTGATGGGAACTTGGGTTGTTTTCACATCTTCGCAATTATGAATTGTGCTGCTATAAACATTTAAGTGAAGGTGTCTTTTTTATAAAATGCCTTTTTTTCCTTTGGATAAATACCCAGTAATGGGATCACTGGATCAAATGATAAGTCTACTTTTACTTCTTTGAAGTATCTGCAGACTACTTTCCATAGAGGTTGTAATAGTTTGCAGTCCCACCGAGAGTGTATAAAAGTTCCTTTCTCTCTGTATCCATGCCAGCATCTGTTGTTTTGGAATTTTTGGTAAAAGCCATGCTCATTGGAGTTAGGTGATATCTCACTGTGGTTTTGATTTGCATTTCCCTGATAATTGAGTACAAATTATTTTGACTAATTGTTTCTATTACACTAATATAAAAATCCAATTTGGGAAATTTCCTTTAGATATTTAAAAACAGTTAGTTGGAAAGTGAATAGTGGGAGACTTAGGTACTGACATTTGATCTACATGTATACAGAGTAAAAAACTCTATTTTTTCTACTGAAAAACACTGGAGCAACAAATGCTTCAAATAGCACAGGTGAATGGGTAAGGTAATGTTCACCAAATTTATATTAGTTGGAATTTTTTATGTGGCAATTGCCAGCTTTTCAATTTTATTCTCTAAAACATAATTTTAATTTTAATCTTCTAAGCCATCAACATGAAAAATGCTAATAGAGAAAATATATATTCAAAGTCACTTTTTCAAGGCCTTTGTAATAAACTTGGGAAATTACCTGCTGTATTTCTCTTTTTATTCTGCTCCATTAAAGCTAAATTCATTCCTTATTCTTATAATGGCCATTCATCTCTTCTGACAGATTTTACAAAACAAACTGAGGGTTCTGTTGTTTTCAGTTTTCTACTACTCTTTAAGCAGTGGGATCCTTCCAGTTATTAATGTTTCTAAAATATTGAAATGTGTGTAGTATATGTATTTGTATAAGTGATTGTTATTTACATTTCATGTTTTTGTTTAAAATCAGACATTTTAGAGTAATGTTGTCCAATAGAAATTTCTTTGATAATAACACAAGTGTCCTGTATCCATGTTGTCCAATATGGTAACCACAAGCCACATGTGGCTATTAAACAATTAAAAAGTGGCTAGTGCTACTGACCAACTTACTTGTTAATTTCATTGAATTGTTATTAATGTGTATGTAAATAGTCACTGTATTGGACAGAAAAGTTTTAGAAGATGACATTTGCTCAAGGAACTCATTGTTCATCCTTTTCATAGGAAGTGATCCAGATGCTAGTTATTTAACTTAACTTATCCTTTATCTGTAAATTTACCTAAATTAAAATGTATGCGGCAGAAATACAAAATATCATCTGTGAATACTACGAAAACCTCTACACAAACAAACTAGAAAACCTAAGGGAAATGGACAAATTTCTGGAAACACACAACCTCTCAGGCCTAAATCAGGAAGAAGTAGAAATCCTAAACAGACCAAAAATGAGCAGCAAGATGAAAGCAGTAATAAAAAATTCTCCCCCAAAAAAACAGCCCCAGACCAGACAGATTCACAGTTGCGTTCTACCAGACCTACAAATAAGAACTGGTACCTAACCTACAGAAACTATCCCATAACATCAAGAAAGAGGAAATTCTCCCTAACTCATTCTATGAAGCCAGTATCACTCAGATACCAAAGACAGGAAATGACACAACAAAAAAAGAAAACTACAGACCAATATTCTTTATGAACATGGATGCAAAAAATTCTAGCAAACTGAATTCAACAGCACATCAAAAAAACAATCCAACATGATGAAGTGGGTTTGATCCCAGGGATGCAAGAATGGTTTAACATATGCGAATAAATAAACATGA